TTCTTCTTCTTCTTCTAAGTCCACCATCTCTTCTTCACCCTCTCGCTACCTGACTTCTCAGTATCTACGGACTACGAGAGAGAGAGAGTTGTGACTTTGGGACTTGACGACATTGGATCCAGACTCGACATTGGGATTCAGACATTTGGCGAGGGATTATTTGGCGCCTGTGCCGAAGACTTGGTGTTGACGACATTCCCATCTTCCCCTCTTCTTCGTCCAACCCCCCTCTTCTTCGTCTGTGTATGGTTGGGGACTGGTGCATTCTTCCTGTGTGAGCGCCAGGCCCCTTCACACCGTGGAATGATGATGATGTATGTTTGGGGCTGCATGGCAACATTGATTGCTCGGATCATTGGTATCTAAGTCTTCCGCTACGCTATCTTGTACTTTGTAAGAGAGGTCGGTTCTTGTTCTGGTCTGCACCTTCATGGTATGCAACGGTTTGGTATCGGAGCGGACCTCTCAATCAGAGGACCCGCTCAATCAAGAAGCCAGCTTGCTTGATCTATTGATTGTTATTAGTAAATCAAGTAGGACTTCGTCAAATCTCTGAATTTTTTTTCTTTTTCTTTCTCGCAACAAATATCTGAAAATTTCTTATAATAGCATTTCGTTTTATCGGAAAATTCTTGATAATAGCATTTCGTTTTATCTGAAAATTTCTGACATTAGCATTTCGTTTTCACGCAACAAATATCTGAAAATTCCTGATAATAGCATTTCTGCAATGAACCCAGATCATGAATACGATTGTCAACAATGCAAGTCCAGAATATCTTGTCGCTGATAGTTTCCAATAATCAAATAGTATCCAGAAAGAATTGAGGTGAGATAATCATGCACAGACGGAGAGGAAGGAGGGAGAAAAGACAAGGGAGAGGAAATATATTGCCCACTCCTGCTTCTGGCTCCTTCCTTGATCACCACCTCATAACCAGTAATCTGAACACCTATCGAAGTCCTGTTACAATGTGCCACGTGGCACCCATTCAGTCTCTTATCAGCGCTGGAGCAATGCCGACATGAAGATTCCAGGTACGTAATCACAACCTCCTCACAGTCCCGATCTCCTCCTGAAGTGACGATGAAACAGCATTGATCTCTCCCTGAAGTGATGATGGAATAGAACAGAATGCCGGTCACACAGACCTGGCGAAGTCCTACGTGGCAGCAGCCACGTCAGCAAGCAACACGTGGCAGCTGCCACGTCAGCAAGCAACACGTGCCAGCTGCCACGTCAGCAAGCCTTGTGGACAGTAGCCAGCCAGTCAGCGCACCAGCCAGCAGCGCGTTGCTATGATCTCGCCAATGCCAGCGTCATGCCAGCGTCCACCAGCGTCGCAGCGTCAAGCCTGTGTCGCATTGTCAACGCGTAGAGGCAGCGTCAACGTAAGACAGAATGAATGAATGTCAAAGCCAGGAGAGTCAACCTTATGTAGTGTTGACTCGGGGTCTGGACCCCGGCTGCTGCGAACTCCAGCCGTCCAGATCTTGTTGAAGATGAAGGCATGGATTGATCTGAAACTGTAGTCCCCTCGGCCTGGATGCTTGTCTGGGTACCTGCGCACAACAAGTGAGTGTATCCATCCCAGGGCCTGGGTTCGGTACCTTTGACTGTACAGTTGACTTTGACTCTTGAATTTCCTGTGTGTAGTGTTCGGTCACACAGCCACGCTCGACAGACTCAGGCCCGGGCGTGTCTTGGTCACACAGCCCGGCGCAGACCAACTCAGGTCTGCGTTTCCAGGGGCCAGGTTCTGGCCCCAGGCGTCTTCTGAACAGGGTTATTGCATTTCGTTTTCACGCAACAAATATCTGAAAATTTCTGAAAGTAGCATTTCGTTTCTCTGACATTAGCATCCGAAATTTCTGATATTCGCATACATAGCCAAAATATCTGATGTTAGCATTTCATTTTCTAAGCATATTAGGATAACAATAGAGGTGGTCATATTCTCGGAAACCGGATTTATTCTTTTCTGAAAATCGAATCTCCATCCTATCTCGCAATTTTTTTTGAAAACCGAAATCTTGCGAAGCCTATCAGCATTTCGTTTGTAGGCATATTAGGAGGTTGTCATATTCTCAGAAACTGGATTTAGTTCTTTTCTGAAAATCGCATCTCTATCGCAAAAAAAAAATTCAAGATCGCATTTTTGTGAAAGCCGAAACTTTGCGGAACCTGGCCTAGATCTCGCTCATAGTACTGCTCTGAGATGCCTCACTCATAACAAGATCGACAGATATACAAAAAACTTGAAAAAAGAAAAGGGGGTGATCCTCTTCTTTTATTTTTTTAATTTTTTTCTGTTGATTAGGACCGGGAGGAAAGTATAGCTTGGTTGGTTACCAACCTCCGTTTTCCCTCCCACCCAACCCTTTGCCTGCATTCCCGGTTGGTACAGTGCCACGTCAGCAGTGCCACATCAGCAACAGTGCCACGTCAGCAGTGTCCCGCCACCATGACGGTCTCAGTTCTGGGCATGCCAGGCCAACTGGCCAATGAGTCCATTGCCGAGTACCGACAGCGTTTCGAAGCTCAGCTCGCACTGATCGAGGCTGAGGAGCAGCGTCAGGCGGCAGCCGAGGCTGCCTGCCTACAAGCTGAAGCGGCGGCAGCAGCTGAAAAGCAGCGGCTTCAGGGCGAAGCAGACGCAGATACCCAGGCATGCCGCAAGGAGGCCCACGAAAAGCTCAAATTCTGGCATTTTGAACCATCCGAGCACCACGAAGACGCAACACCGGAAGAGCAGCACAAGGAGTTCCTTGCCAAACTCGCGACCCAGTTGGTTTTCACTTGTAACCACCTGCAGTCCAAGCTGGCGAACCTCCGACGGGCGGTGCGGAACAAGGATCTACACGAGGATGCTACACGGGCACTTGATTCCCGTGTACAGGACTTGGAGCAAGTTGCACCAAGACCAGATGCTGGTGAGTCCAGCAGTGCACCCTCTACCCGCCAATTGGAGGAACAAGTTGACCACGTAGTCGCAATGCTCGGCGACATCAGCACCTTCACTGCACCAGCCACCATCAGCAAGCAGTTGGACACCTTGAGAAACTGCACCAGCGGCCCAACAAAGACGGCAACACCAGTGCGCAGCACTACAAGATGCCGACATTCCAAATCGAAAAGTTCGATGATTATACGCATCAAGACCCGGTCCCCTGGTGGGAGGGCTTTACGACGCAACTTCGGATTCTTTTCGTCCCCGAGCACTCGTACATCGACGCGCTGTTCCTCAACTCAAAGGGCGCATGTCAGATCTGGCTCAGCCACCTGGCAACCATTCATGACGTCCAGGTCGCAGATCTGCATGAGAAGATCTCTTAGGAAGAGTTGACGAGGCTATGGAAGAAGTGGTTCATCGTGGACGACGCCCCGACACTCGCCATCAACCACCTCTTCGCCATGACGCAAGGCAACACATCGACACGCGACTGGCTCACGGAATGGCAAAAGATCGCGGCAACGCCCGATCTCGAATTGCCATTTTCGCATCTGCGCCGAGAGTTCTACAACGGATCATGTGCCGCCTTGAGCCTTGCACTTGGTGATCGCGAGCAATACACGACCTTCGCTGAAATCATTGACAAGGCAAGGGAGATCATCAAGACTAACAGGGCGGCTGCACACGAGAAGTCAGCGTGGCAGCCAACCTATGTGGTGAAAGGAAAATTTGGTCCGCGTCCGCGGCATGTCGCTGCAGTCCAAATGGACAACATTGTGGAAGACCCGGCAGCCACCCAAGCATCACGTGAGGGAGATCAGGTGGCTGCTGTCCAGCCGCGAAGCAACAACAACTCCCGAGGAAAAGGGAAGGCGAAAACCGCATCGCCGGACGGAAACGGACAGCCAGCACCATGGGTCAAGTTTCACTTGACCGAGGCCGAATACAAGTGGCGCGGCCAGTATGGCTGCTGCTATTGGTGCAACAACACCAAGCACAAAACCTCCCAATGCCCGGATCAAGGCAAGGAGGATGTTCGGCCTCGCATCAACTCGGGAAACTGAGTTGCGCGGGAGGTGAGGCGACTCCACCTCGCACTCCGCCAGATTCGGCACCTTGTTAGCGGCCTCCTACACATCTGGGGAGGATGCAAATGTCGCAAGTCCTCGGTTCACTTACGAGGATTCTGCTGTCCACTTGGTCCCACCGTTGGACCAACCACTCCACGTGCAACAATCCACTGCATGCACAATTTCACCACCATCGACAACCGATTCGGCAGCTTCGCCGCCATCTATCGCGGGGGATTCGACGTCATGGTCAAGACTTGAAGAGCTCGACCCATTGACGTTTGCGGACTTCCAATGGACGCCCCTTCCCCCGTCCAGTTGATTGCCGAAACCGCATTGCAACGTGCTCATGGCACAATTGCGGGATTACTCGCACACTGCAGTACCAACTCCGTTGATGGACGCCGGAGTAGAGGTTGTCGACCTTCACGACTATGTTGCGAAGATCGACCGCGAGTTCAAGACACAACGGTACGACGACATTGACGCGCCATTGTTGCACATACGCATTCAGGTCGGAGAGGCGACCTGCAGCGCTTTGATCGATTGCAGAGCTACTCGCAACTACATGAGCCAAAACTTTATGGTACGTGCTGGCCTTGGGCCACGCGTTCGGAGGAAGTCGCAGCCCACGCAAGTCACGTTGGCCGACGGTCACACGCACAAGTCAATCGATCGGTGCATTGATGCCGTCCCCGTGTACTTTGCCCCGCATGCAAGCGACGTTGTGTCCTTCGACGTTTTGGACACCAAGTTCGACATGATCTTGGGCATGTCATGGTTGCGAAGCGAGGATCACCCGGTGAACTACCGCCGCACCGTTCACGTTTGTGATCGGAACGGAATACTAGTCCCATGCACGGTGCCTCCTCCTCACCCTTCGATCAGCTGCCACGTGGTGTCCGCCGCAAGCATTCGAGCTTCCATCATCAGGGATGACATCGAGGAAATGGGAGTGTGTTTTCTCCACGCCCTCCCGCCCCATGACATTCCATCGACGGACTCATCACCGGACCCACGCATCACCGAGCTTCTCGACGCCTACAGCGACGTGTTCGAAGCCCCGCACAGAGTAGTACTGGATCGGCCCATCCGCCACGAGATCATCCTCGAGGCCGGGGTCGTACCGTCGCGTGGTTGCATCTACCGCATGAGCGAGGAAGAGTTAAGTGTGCTACGGGCACAACTCGACGACCTTCTCGAGAAAGGCTAGATTCGGCCTAGCTCTTCGCCATACGGTGCTCCCGTTCTCTTCGACCGGAAGAAAAACAAGGATTTGCGGTTGTGCACCGGATGGATTTGCAGCCGCGGCGTACCGGAAGACATCGTCAACGACCGCGACACTCGCTTCATGTCGGCATTTTGGATTTCTCTCAAGCAGGAATTCGGCACGAAGATGAAACCAAGTTTGACTCGGCATCCACAAACGGACGGGCAAAAGGAGCGGGCACATCAAACTGCTCAATGCTTCGTACGTTCATCCGTCCGGATCATAAGGATTGGGTTGACCGCCTCCCTGACATCGAGTTCGCCTACAACACTTCGTTGCATCTAGCGATCAGCGTGACTCCATTCGAGTTGCACCACGGCGCCAGAAAGGTCGTACCTTCGCTGATCTTCTCCTCCCACGAACAGCCGACATAGACGCTGCTTGCTCCCCCGCTTCCGTCCAGAAGTACAGGGAAATGCTGGCTCAAGCCCGCGCGAACATGCAAAAGGCTCAAGTCCGCATGCAGCAGCAAGCCAACAGGCGTCGCGTGCCATGTCCCATCCGCGCCGGTGATCTGGTGTGGGTCTCCGCGGAAGAGTTTGCACTCGAGCAGGATGTTTCACGCAAACTGCTTCCCAAGTGGTTTGGACCATGGTCCGTAACATCAGCCGCGGGCGATGAGCCCGATGGCCCCTCATTTGTGATCAACATTCCCCCGCATCTGACGGTCCATCCAATCTTTCACGCCTTGAAGCTGGCGACTTGTACACCAGCTAAGAGCGACGACTTCCTGGGCCGAAGATCGCAAGATCCTCCATCTATGGATGGTCATTAGGAGGTTGACCGCGTCATCACGGATCGCAAGTACGGCAGCAAGCCTCGACAGTACAAGGTTACATTCAAAGCATGCGATCCCGACGACACTCGATGGATTTCGGGAGCAGATTTGAAAACATCCGCACCGCTGATCTACGCTCACTACAAGCGACAAAGGTTAGCTAAGGGAACTTCACGACCTGCCCCTCCCACCCGGACTGTGGTCCCTCCCTCAGACAGACAGCTTCGCCCTCGCAGGTAAGCTCGATCTTTCAAGGAGGGGGGGGGGGTGGCACACTGCGCAGCCACACGGGCCTGCAGGGCCCGACCAGTGTTTGCAGCCTAAAAGCCTGAAAACAAGGGCTTACAGGCCCTGTGTCGTTTCAGCCTGAAAGCCTGAAAACGAGGGCCTGCAGGCCCTATGTCGTTTCAGCCTAAAACAGGGCCTTCCAGGCCCTGAGTCTTTTCAGCCTGAAACGGAGGGCCACTTTCGGGCCCTCATAAGATTGACATGCCCTGACTCTCAGGCACCAAACCAGGGTTTTAGGAACAGGCTATTTTTGGCCTGTTCCCACGACAGCCTCAGCAGGAGCTGCAGCGCCAGACCCTGGCTCATTTTGGCATTGGCAAGAGCAACCTCCTGGACTGCCCCGCCCTGCAACTGCAGGCAGTCGGAGGCAGTCAGGAGGCATGCTGAGGTAGTACATAGGGAGTTCCCATGCACTTCACGGGTAGGCAGAAGGCAGGAGTAGTCTTCAGCGCTGGGCGCTAGTAGCTGTAGTGGTAGTCTTCAGCGCTGGGCGCTGGTAGGAGTAGAGTAACGTTGGAGAGAGAGATGGCTGGTGGAGGCCAGGGAGACTTACCTGTGGCGCCATAGCTCCTGCTTCATCTTCGAGGTACCTGCATCAAGGCGCCAACTTCACAGGTTAGTACCGGACTGAGAGAGAGAGAGAGAGTTCTTCTTCTTCCTCTTCTAAGTCCACCATCTCTTCTTCACCCTCTCGCTACCTGACTTCTCAGTATCTACGGAGTACGAGAGAGAGAGAGAGAGAGAGTTGTGACTTTGGGACTTGACGACATTGGATCCAGACTCGACATTGGGATTCAGACATTTGACGAGGGATTATTTGGGGCCTGTGCGGAAGACTTGGTGTTGACAACATTCCATCTTCCCCTCTTCTTCGTCTAACCCCCCTCTTCTTCGTCTGTGTGTGGTTGGGGACTGGCGCATTCTTCCTGTGTGAGCGCCAGGCCCCTTCATACCATGGAATGATGATGATGTACGTTTGGGGCTGCATGGCAACATTGATTGTTTGGATCATTGGTATCCAAGTCTTCCGCTACGCTATCTTGTACTTTGTGAGAGAGGTCGGTTCTTGTTCTGGTCTGCACCTTCAGGGTATGCAACACATACACAGCAGTCATGTAAGACACATTAGACAGGAATATCTCAACCGGTTCGCGGTCACACACCCTGCTCTGCATTTAGTAAAGATAGTTGTCAATACCGTCTCCCAACAATAATGCTCAATGACTTCCCATGCATATTCCCCCTTCAGAAGTCAATGAATGTCTTGCCTTGTCTACCTCAGTACCTGCTTAAAAGTCTCAAGTTCCAGCAATTTTCTCCTCCATCATTTCCTGTCCTTAAGCGCCACCTCCCTTCCTTCGCTTCCTCACCTGCAGCCTTCAGGCGCACACTAAGATTCCACTTCAGAGCTCTACCGTCACTAAGATCATCAAACACATATGCTAATACTCCTCTCCCCCCTAGCCTGCCTCCTCTGCTGTTCTCTCTCTCTCTCTCTCTCTCTCTCTCTCTCTCTCTCTCTCTCTCTCTCTCTCTCTCTCTCTCTCTCTCTCTCNCTCTCTCTCTCTCTCTCACACACACACACACACACACACACACACACACACATACACACACACACACACACACAGAGTGCCTGCTTGTGTGTGTGAAAGAGAGAGATGCCAACCTTCACAAACACCATCCACCTCATGCAGTCTCTTTCCATTTCCTCATTCGCATAGCGCAGTCTGCTTGGCACACCAAACAGCCCCCCTATACTCCTTTCTCCTGCAAAATCGCTCACCCTCGACAGTTCCACTGTTGACGATTATCCAGCTGAGCTTTCATTCAAGGCTATGGATATTGTCCATACCATTTCCAAAGGAGATTTATGAAACCAGACTCCAAGGGTGGATATGATTCCTCCTGGGTGCAAGCAGGGGGGGGGGGGAGAGAGAGAGACAGAGAGAGAGAGAGAGAGAGAGAGAGAGAGAGAGGTGTCTTATAAGTGTTCGACGATTCTATGAGTTTGCACTCACTCCATGCCCCTTGTGACTGAACTTCTGCGTATGATAATTCGGTTGTCTGAACTCTGAAGCTTTCTCATACCCAATTGTGACCATAAGCTGCATGGACAAACAAAGGCACTTGCAGATTTTTCTGCAGGTTCCCATCATCAAGAATAACTTACATGTATCTGAACGATGAGATGCTCGGCCAGGCCTGGCCGCTAGGATTGTCTTCTGCATGTGCTAGTGTTACAGACAGGACACTGGATGTCTTCAGGTACATATCCATACACATCTGTGCAGGTAAGGCACCCATGCAGTCTGGTAGGTAGTGCATTGCTCTGTTCCAGCTGGCTATCCTTCTTCGCAGCAGAGATAAACCATCTTCGCATTCGAAGCCAAGCAGACAAGTGACACTATCTACAGCTACCTGAATCTTACAGTTGTCAGCTGGCCAAGCGAGGTAACTGAAAGATTTGGATAAGCCATATGAGCAACAGGCTCGCTAAACCACATCGCATAAACCTTTGCCAGGGTAGAAACCTTCTTTTGAATGATCTGGAAGAGCGTGTGAAAGAAGCTTCTCCAACCCTTCTTTCACACCTTCCTCCAAAACGTTTTCCAAAGCTTCTTCCAAACTTTCCTCCAAAGCTTCTTCCAGAAGCTTCTGCTGAACCTTCTTCAGGTCAACCCAAGTCAGTCCACGGAGGAACAGAGAACATGAGCATGGAGCGCTGCATGCATGTAGGACAGCAAAATGAGTCCATGCGCTCGAAAACTCCTCAGTTTTCGTTTTCCTGCTCGTCGTCCACTACTCGAGGAGTGAGTGCTTTACAACTGAAAACCCACCTTTCTATGTGAGGCCAGCTACATCTGTTCCCCTATGTACCCCCTTCAGCCAACATCTTTCCGTCCCCCAGCATCTAGTGGAACGCTGATGTTATCACCAGTTCTTTCTCCGCAGATGTCTCATGTCCGTTGTCAGAGGCTTCCGGACATGGCTACAGCATCAGCCAGTCTCCGCCAGACATCCATACATCTTCTAACACTGTAGACGAACTGGAAAGAAGCGAAGGCCAAAGGCTCGCTAGCACAGGCCAAGGCGGCTTGCGAGCGCCGAAAAAAATGTTAGGTATGGTCCTAGCCATGTCTCTAGCTCTGTTCTCAACTGCATGCATAAACCCCATCGCCACCCTGCAGGTGCTTGTAACCCTTCTACCCGCCTGTTTCCGCCGACCACAACTCCTGCATCATCGGCGCTTCGCCCTTCTTTGTCTCGCCTTCCGAGTCCTTTTCCACGAATAACGACTCCCCTGCTGGGGTTTGCACTGTTGCCTTCTCCAAGTCTGACACTGTAGCCCCTGACTGCGCTTCCCCGTTGTCTGCACCATCGTGCTCCTCCTTCGGGACGCCTGACGACCCTATACGGGCCGGACCCATGGTCTTCATTTTTGCTGACAGGCGACCGACATCATCAACCCTTCCTAGCTTTGCATAACTCAGCATCAGAAGATTGTAGGAGTTTGACGGCATCTTCCTTCCTGTGTCCATTAGCCAACGGATGATCTGTACAAGCTTCCGCCACCTCCTTTCCGACCGTAGGATGGAAATTGCGCGCCGAATTGTTGAGAGCGAGAACTGGCCAGGCTCCTCTGCCCATGCGTTCATTGCATTATAAAATGCCGTCTTCGTATTTGGTAGTCTCTCCACCTGATCCCAGAAAGGTCATTTTCATTTGGCACAGAAAGCCAACCAAAAAAGTAGAAGGATCAGGCTCAGCAAAAAAACACAGTATGGTTCTTTGCCATAGAGACGCGAAGGGGAATGATCAGCCTTAGAGAAAAAGACATGCAAGCCTTAGAGGAAAAGACATGTAAACCTCAGAAAAGGGAAAAGATGCTGCTGCTGCTGCTGCTGCAAATCATCAATTCAATCAAATTGAATTCTCTCTGTCTTCTGGTTGTTATCGTGTCGCCATAAGGCCCAAYGAACACATACTAATGGACTAGCAGCAGCAGCAGCAGCTGAAGAAGAGTCAAATGCATTAAGAGCGTTGGTGGTGATAGGGAGTCAGTCAGTCAAAAAAAACAGCAGAAGGAAACAAGACAGTTCTTTTGATGCTGTTTCTGTCAAACTACGGAATAAAACGCATGCTATATGGCTGGAAGAAGAAGCGTCAAATGCGTTAAGAGCATTGGTGGTGATAGGGAGTCAGTCAGTCAAAGAAAACAGCAGAAGGAAACACGACAGTTCTTTTGACGCTGCTTCTGTCAAACTATGGAATAAAACGCATCCTATATGGCTGGAAGGTACACACATGTAACTGTTGATAAACAGGTCATCTGTTCGAGCTCTGACAGAATCAGGTAGGCACAATAATATGAGCGGCTTAACCCCCTTTGGAAAAAAAAAAAGAAGGCATAAGGTGAAACTCATCATCAAAAAAAAAAAAAAATCATTGAAAGATTCAGAGAGAGTGAGGTCCCATGGCGACAGGGAATAGCGCAGTTTTTAGCGCACGGCGTGCGGGGTGAATTGCGGGTAGTTTTTTTTAGGTTTTCTTTTTTGCGCGGTGAAATGCCACGCGAATGATTCTCTTTGACCAAGCTGACTTGGCGGGACGGCGACAACGGTGGGGGTGGGGCTTGCTTGCGGGGCGATGGAGGAGGGCTGACTGATGTCGACGGGCAGACCGACGTCGGGCGACAACGGTGGGGACAGATTTTGCCTGACGAGGGAAGGACGAACGTTGACCAGCCGGGGATAGGATAGACCTGGTGGGGCGGCTCGATGGCGGGGATGGGGCCAGCGTGACAGATGATGCAAGAAGGGCGGGACGATGTTGCGTGAAGGCGGCGTTCAGACTGCCGCCGCATAGGCCGATGTCGCGTGAAGACGGCGTTCAGACTGCCGCCGCTTAGGCCGACTGAGGTGATAACGACTGAGGTCAAAGAGAAGGGGGGGCGGGCAGGGGGTAGAAGGTGATGTCTCTGCTAAGCTGAGAAGTGGCTGAGGGGGCGTGTTGGGAAGGAGACGAGACCACACGGGGGGAGATTAGGAGCTCTTCCTGATGTACCGACCGGCTCATTTTAACTATGCGATTTGCCTTACGAGTCTGGAGGAGTCTGGCTGACCTGCCAAAAAGGCGAGGAGGTCCTTGACAGCGCTCGGCATAAGCTGTTGCTGGCAAGTGTGGGGGAGGACGTCAGTTAGTGGTTGATTAGCGAATCCTTCTCAGGAAATTAGATACGAAGATAAGTTGGCAAAGGTAGATCCAAGCGGTGGGAGAAGCTTTAGGGAGAAGACAAGCGATTAGTGGGTGAACGTTGGGGGAAGGGGGAGGCAGATCGAGAGACAATATCAGGGGCTTACGGTGGGATCGTTAGATACAAGTGACAGGAAAAAGCTTCAGGGGGAGAGAATGGAAGGGATGGCACAAGAACGATGGCGCCTCATGCAGGTGCTGAGGCGCTCGTATTTGTTGCGCCAACCAATGGAAGGGTCGGGCCTGATTGAATACGCAATACAGGGAGGAGTACGTTTGGCGCGGCCAACGAACGAGATTATGTACTTGCAAAACACCTACATGCGGGCGCACACAGTGGCGAGTAAGATGCCGGAAGGAACAGCAGGCTGGTCACGGAGGGCCAAGCGGGAATGGGTTGGCCATATGGAGGAGGCATGGATGTTGGGAAGAGGCCCATGGCGAGGTGAGATTGATACAGAGGGGGAATTGACTGTCGCGTACTTAGCGCCGACGGTTGAGTTGAGGAACTGGCTCATCGAAGAAAGAATGAGGGACGAGGTGCATGTGGCAGAAGTGCATGGCCAAGTGACATATCAACCATGGAAGCTGCCAGCGGAAATGAACGCGGACAGAAAGCGTGAGCGCAAACGACGGCCATGGGTGAAAGTCTTCAAACCCTCACTACTGGCAGCGAAATGGATGAGAGGGGCAGTCGAGCACTTCTTTGGTCCAATAGTTAGCGAACAGCGGGTGGACGATGAGCAAAGAGAGTACGTGAAGTATGTGCTGGATGGCCCGATGAAGAACCCGCTGAAGAGCAGCGTCGCGGTGGCTATCGGCCCTTATAGCTTCGAGGAGGTGAGAGTAGTAACGAGTGAGACACCCTTTTGTGAGGTGTGTTTCACACATGGCCACATGGGGCTCCATGGAAGATGCTTGACGCCGGCTGAGACACTGCAGGAGATGCACGAAAGGGAGGTGAGAAGTACTATGGACCCGATCTTGCAGTCGAATCCACAAGAAGAAAGGAGGGCCTGGCATGAGCTGTAGCTCCAGGTGGACGACGCCCTGCTGAAGGAAGCCAGAATTGCAGCGCAGGCGCGGAAGGAGGCCGCAAGCCAGGCCTGTCATGAAGAAAGACGGAGGAAGCCGGCTAAGGGAAGAGGAAGATACCGCTGGAATGTGCTGTGGGAGGGGAGGGGAGACGACCCCATGCAGACTGACGACCCGCACTGGCTCTTCGGAGAAGACCGGAAAAGGAAGGCGGAGCAGGGGCCGGAACAAGAGAAAGGCTCCAAAACGGGAAATTCACGACAAGAACAAGGGATAGGAGGGGACCAAAGAGAGGGACGCTGAGGCTTCGTCAGCCAAGTCAGGTAAGGAGGTCGGGGAGGGCGGGCAGGCACAGTCTTCAGAAGAGACTCGGGGGGCCGAAGAAAGGGGAGAGACCAGTCGGCAGAAAGAAGGACAGGAGGGAACGGTTACTCAGGGAACGCAAGGGCAGTGGGGGAACCGAGCTACTTCGTCCGAGAAGAACGCTGATGGGGGAGAAGGAGGGGGGAGGGCTGGGTTGTCCGAGGGTCAAGGGGGACAAAGCGCGAGAAGGAAAGAAGCGCAAGCGGACGATAGCCAGGTAAGGCAGGAAGGACAAGGGCAGGGGCAGGTTGAAAGGCGAGGGAAACAGGACAGCGTGGGGGAGTCGGGCGCACAGGTGGAAGATAGGCAGGTGAGGCAGGACGGACAAGGGCAGGGGCAGGCTGAAAGGCGAGGGGAACAGGACAGTGGGGGGGAGGCGGGCGCGCAGCAGCAACCGGGCAGGCCGATGTACGAAACATCTACGCAGGTAAGGCAGGAAGGACAAGGGCAGGAGCAGGTTGAAAGGCGAGGGGAACAGGGCAGCGTGGGGGAGCCGGGTTAGCAGCAGCAACCGGCTAGGCCGGTGTACGAAACACCAATCATAGCTGATCAGGTCCCCCACTCACCGATAAAATACAGGCGAAGGCGCAAGCAAGTGACCACAGGACCAGAGAAGAAATCCTCATCAGCGGAATGCTTTCCGGTCCCGACCTTCTCCTCCGACAGGGTGGCATCGATGCAAGCGAAAACTATGGGCCAGGAGACCTCGGGACGGCAGGTTTCATCGCAAACCTCACAAACAAGGCCGAAGTGTACAAGAGAGAGGCATCGATCCCCCTAGGGAACCAAGGGATATGAACCAAGGTATTCGCTGCGAGGGAAGGGGAAAAGAAACGAGTCGCCACCGCCTTCGGGATCAGTCCCCCTCAAGGAACCAAGCTTTGGCCTTCCGGCTGAGGGGGTGGGTGATCAGTCAAGCTGCCAAGAAGATGACAACTTGTTGGAATCCTCTACTACAGAGACATCGGATAGTTCAGAGGATGACCAACAGTCTGTTCATCAGTCTGCAAACCAGCAGCAGCAGGACTGCTCAGCAGAGGGAGGGGCCCAGGGGTCTGCAAGCCAGCAGCAACAGGAGTGATCAGTAGAAGAAGAACATCATACTTCGCAGGGCCAGGGGTCGGAAGAGGGGGCTACACCAGCGGAGGTGGCAAGTGCTGAGAACCGAAGTACGCAGGAGCAGGAGAGTCAGCAGCGCCAGCAGCCTGAGAGTCAGCTGGAAGGCCTGGCACGGCAAGAGCGTGTGGGGGCCAGGTTGCCTGACATACTTAGGGCGGGAGAGGGCTATGTCTGCCCGATTGTCCTGTGGCGGGCGCCAGAGGAAATAAGGCTGCTCCTGGAGGGGACAACGGACGTACCAACTTTTGGAGTGGCCCGCCCACCTCAGGAACAGCAGGTGCTTAAGAAGGTGGCTGAGTGGTTGGGCCCAAGATACGAAGTGGTGACGCTGCCTCAGATATCAGCACTACGATTTGTGAGGGAGACGGCGGGGGGGGATGAGTATGTCATCTTTGTCTTCTTTGTGGAAGCCATCCCTAAGAGACCGGGAGTTCCGAGGCTAGGATCGACAGGCATGCACTGGATACGGTTCGCCGAAGCCTGCGGCCCTCTGGCACGACTACCACCTGGTTCATACAACATCTCTGGCTCTGCTCAACAGCGTTAATGCGTGCCTGCCGCTGATGGAACATGTGGGGGGCGTGCAGTTTCAGAATGGAACTGGTATTTGGGAACGGGGGGAGTGAGAGGGTAGAGTAGGGGAGGGTAGGTGCTATACTATATACTTATCTTGAATGGGTGTCGCAAGGATGAGGACACCCCCCCCAGCAATAAATAGAGGAAGGTACCACCTTAACGTAGTAAGGGATGCACTAGGGGTAAGGTTAGTGGTAGGGGATGCAAGTGCAGAGAAACTGCAATAGGCTGAAACTGCTGACTTGGAACGTGAGAGGCCTGGGGGCCCAATCACTGCTGCCCAAGTGAAGGGAGTTGGCGAGGAAAGTGAAAGATGAGCAGATCGATGTAGTGTGTCTACAAGAGACTAAGC